GACTGTTAACAATCAAACAAGCTCCAATAAGACTGTTAACGATCAAATGAGCTCCAATAAGACTGTTAACAATCAAACGAGCTCAGTGAAGACTGTTAACGATCAAATGAGCTTGATGAAGACCATTAACGATCAAACAAGCTTGAAGAAGACTGTTAATGATCAAAGGAGCTCAATGAAGACTGTTAATGATCAAACGAGTTTGATGAAGACGGTTAATCAAATGGAGAAAGAGGCCGTCGGTGTGAATGTGATGAAAGAAACAAAACAGAAATTCGTCTCCAACAAACAAATAGAGACCAAGTCGGTCCGACAGACGGTGGTGACTGAGAGGACCGCCGTGCAGCAGAGTGTCAGAAACCTGAAGGTCGATCACCGGAGCTACAGAGGGAGGGGGGCCGTCCAAAGGGTCACACCGGAGATTCACTTCCCACCTCCTCCCTCCTCACCACCTCCACCCTCTGAGTCTGACCTCTCTCTCCCCCCTCCACCTTCGCCCGTGATGGAGAGCCCAGCGTCGCCTCAGATCATGAGGCAGGACAGTGACCTGCTGCCCCCGCCTCCCCCGCCGCCACCTCCCATGGACTGCATGACTCCTGAGTTTTTCCCCCCTCCACCCCCTCCGCCTCCTCCATCCTCTGCAGGTGGACACGATTTTCTCCCTCCACCTCCTTCGCAGCAGGAGCTTAACGCGATGCCGCAGCTTCCTCCTGCAAAGCCTTTGGGAAAACCTTTATTCAAAGTGGCCAAGCAACCAGAGCCGCACAAGCAGCCTGTGCAAGTGAAACCAACATGGCAGAAAAAGCAACCAGCTCCATCACTTCCTCCACCTCAGCTCCCTGCTGCTCAACAAATGGAGGTAATGGTTCACAAGGAGGAGGCCAAAGTTCAGGAGGTGAAGCAGGAGACGCAGCAGCAGACTGAAAGAAACAGTCAGATTAAAGTGGCAGCGGCAGCGTCACCAACAAGGATACCCACTATCCCAGCTGTTAAACCGGAGCACAAACAAAGTCCACAGCCACCCAAAAAGGTGTTCTTACCCCCCATCAAACTGCCCCCACCTCCAGACCCTGCTCCGGCCCCACAGTCCAGACCATATGCTCGCAAATTTAAAACGCCCCTCATGCTGGCAGAGGAAAAATACCGTCAGCAAAAGGAGAGAGAGGATGCTGAAAGAAGCGTCTCTACTCCAGCGTCACCGTCCAGTAATCAGTCCACTACCATCACAGCAGCAGAGAGCAACGTGGAGACAACAAAAGTCACAATGCTGTCGCAAGACCCACCCGCTAAGAAAAGCCCTTCCCAGATTCCTCTGAGCAAACCTTCAACCTCAGCACTGAATAAAAAGCCCACCACTGCACCTTCAAATGTCCCCTCAGACAAACAGCAAACACTTTCAACTGAAGGTTCTGTGTCCAAGTCCTGTCACGAGTCCTCCGAACAGGAGATCCAGTCCTGTCCCAGCATGGTCACCTGTTCAGTCACGGAGCAGCAGCAGCATATTCAGAGATCCAGCAGCAGGTCTGCCGCCATACAGAGTACCGCCCAGGATCACGTCAACCTTCAAAGCCCGGCTGCAGTCACGCTGAAAGCCGAGGATGTAAAGAATATTAATGTGACTCTGACACCAGAGGGAAAAACGAGTCCCTCTCAGCCAACTAAAATTCCAAAAGTACCTCCGAGCTTCAAAGTGAAAACTTTTAAAATGCAGACAGAGAAGAAAGCAGAAAAGGCTGACGGTTTGGGGCTGAAGGAAATGAAAATTGAAGCTCATTCACAACAAGAAAAAATGTCAAAGAAAACCGAGTCAAACAGCCGGCACACTTCAGCAACAACTGAGATGAAAGAGACTCAAAGGCAGGCGACGCCAACCAGGAAGGAGGCTGAAGTGGAGACGAAGGTTAGGAAGGGACAGCAAACAAACATGGCTGAAGTCAAGCTGTGTCCACCAGGAGCTCAGATCACTTCAGCGCTGACTCATCAAGGACAAGACCTCGTGTCCCAAAGTCGGCAAAGCGTGACGTCAGAGCACCTTCAAAGACACGAGGAGGTTGTTGTGACTGAGAGGACGGTACAACAAACCCTTCAGAGGGAAGAGGCCGCTCATGTGGAGCGACAGCAGCTGAAGCTGAACGCAGCAGAAACCAGCAAGACTCAGAAGAAGGCAAAAGTTGAGTCAAAGAACGTGTCGCTGAAAGGCCCAGCTAAAACAGCGCACAAAGAAGAAGCTCCGCCGGGAGAGAGCTCAGATTTGGACAAATACACGGAGTTGGAGAAGCTGGTGGCTCAGATAAAAGAGCTGGAGGGCACGCCGAGCAGAATAGATGGCAGCACGGTCAGGAAGATGGTGACCGACGTCCCCGACTGGGTCCTGGGCTCCACCGAGAGACAGAATTTAGGACAACTGGCTTCACAGCAAAGCAAGAAAAAGTTGAAAGAGATGCTCGCTTACGTGAAAAACGTTTTTCAAACCAAACTCACCGTTCTGAAGCAAAGCTTGACCACTGTGGAAGAGGAGGTGAAGGAGGAGCTGCCGGTGCTGCCCACAACCGAGAAGAAACCTTTCACGGCAGCATCTGTGACAATCTCAAAGGTCAGTGTCGCCTCGTCCAGAACAGAAAAGAAAGTGGTGGAAGAGACGAAGGTGCTCCGAGGAAGCACCAAGTGTCCTGCCCTGAGCGAAGGGACGGATCAGAGGCTGTCCTCCCCATTGGCAAGCATTCGAACTCCGTCACCAACCTATATCACGATTGAGTCAAGGAGGGTGGACTCCCCCCTGAGGGTGACTCCTTCTCCTCCGCCTTACAAGTCCGTCAGGACACCTCCGCCGCCTCCTCGCAAGTCCTTCACTCCTACTTTCAGCAGGGCTACGCCGTCTCCGACTCTCAGCCGCTCAGAGAAGCTGATGAAGCTGAGGGACACCACCTCCAAGCTTTCCCGGGGAATGACCCCCCCGCCTCCTGTGCTGGTGCCGGAGTACTGTGCTGCTGACAGGGAGCAGTCTTCTCCGTTCAGCGACAGGGAGACTCCTACTGAGAGGAGCGACCATGGACTGATGGATGTCACAGAGATGGTGGATTCCATGATGACGGTTAAAGACAAGAAGAGTTTCTTCGAGGAGGCTCAGAAGGCCGAAGTGAACAAGATGTACCATCGAAAGGACCCCATTGACATCCCTGAACGTTTGGGGCCTGATGCCGAGGATGCCCCTGACACCATGACCATAGAACTCCTGAAAGAGGACCTTCCAAAAGTTGATCTAACAAAACTCGTAAACAAATTTGAGTCCCCTCAACCAACGGTGTACACAAGAAAGGACCCTATTGTGATTACAGAGAGGCTGGGTAGCGACACGGAGGAGGCAGAGGCCGAAGCTCACACATCGAGAGCCGAAGAAATCCCCATGTTCAACGTCAAAGCCATAAAGGATGTGTTTGAGACCGGAGAGCATGGTTCTCAAGCGGCCCGAGAACTCCGGGAGCAGATAGAAAGACGAGAGTCTGAGTCGGCGTCTTCAGATCCAGGGCACCACTCCCAGACCACTTCAGTCACGGAGCAGTTCTGCAGTGTCGACGACTTCGGGAACGTGACGCGAGAGCTGAGGAGTGAAATGCATTCTGGGAGCTCGCTGATCCGGGGCAGCCCTCCATCGTACGCCGACGTGGTGAGGGGTGCGATCCCGACTCTCTCGGTGCCCCCCGAGGCCTCGACGGAGGAACTGCTGAGGAACTTCCAGCAGTCGTGGGTGGAGAGCCAGGGAGTTTTCCAGAACCTTGGCTTCAACGTGACGGAGCAGAGGACCTCCCAGACCGTGACCCACCAGGAGACCTTCGTGTCTGGTAAACCGGCTCGTGCAGCATGAAGATGTTGGTCCGGTCCTGACTCTAACATCGCTCTAACATCGTAGCTTCAGCCTGATCTCGTCTCAGACCTTCTCTGATATTAGAGCAGCCGAGGTTCAGCTTTGACTTTCTACAGTGTTTGTTGTTTGCCTCTGCCCTGTGGATCCGGCGGTGACACTAACTGTTCTGACTAACGTTCCTCCATCCTGAGTTGTTGCAGATTTCTCTAAAGGAACAGAAACGGCATGAATCGCCTCCAGCTGGAAGAAAACGAAGCTCTGATTCGTGTTTGTTCTGTAAATAAAAACACGTTCTCAGTAATTACAGAACAAATCATCTGCCCAAACATCCGTGCATGAAAAATAAGGATTTATTTTGTGTTGACTCGTTAAAATCAATTACCGTTTCTGTGAAAAATCTTTTTCAGTTGTTTGGTGTCACAAAGCTGAACGTCATTTATTATTTATTTGTTTCTGGATAAACTTTGACGGGCACTGCCACGCTGCGGCCATGTTTAATTCATCCCAAATTTATGTTTTTTTTAATGTTATAGTCATTCTTTCATTTGAGCTTTGGCGGCCATCTTTGATTTTTGATTTGGATTCAGTGTGCGATGGGGAACGCTCTCAGCTATAAGCTTACCAAACTTCAGCTCAATATCTACAATATCTATATCTATAATAATAGCTGAGTTATTGTAATGTTTCCCTTTTAGCTAAGGCAGCCATCTTGGATTTTTAATTTGCATCAGGAATGTATAACAACTCTCTGAGCTATGACCAAACCAAACTTGGCTCAACATCTCACAGAATGACTGAGTTATAGTCAGCTTTGAGTTTTATGAGGTAGCTGTGGCAGCCATCTTGATTCAAAATGGCTCCAAAAGTTAATCAGTTGTTCAGGGACCTCTCCACTCCAGGTCATGTGACCTCACTGTGTCTGTTAGAGGCTGTGGAGTTCTGTCAGTGTTTTCAATGAGACAATTGGCGTCACCATGGTAACTGGAAACACCAATAAATGCACACATCACGATGCCGAGCCAGTCGTTTTGATGTAAAGTTTGAGGGACATGTAGTTCAGGCCACAATAACCTTGATAGAAGAGCAGGACCCTCTTCAGGTGGTGCCTTCAGGAACTCCCTGAAAGCTTCAGTTACATAGACTCGTTTTGTTCGGGTCTTCTTGAGCCGAGGAGGAACTGGAACTAGTGTGAGATGTTTGTTGTTTGTTTTGTTGGCTGTTGTGTTTGTGTGCGCTTGTTTTCATTTGTTTAACAGAACTGGTGAAATTTAGCTGTTGTGCTAACTCCCGCACATTTATATTCTTGGACATATTGATTAACTAACGTGCATGATCTTTTTAAATAAGTTAACAAAAATAAACGCATCTGCTTTCAAAGGGGGGCGTGGCCTGGAAACAACCCTTCCTCACTGGTTTTAATAATAATAATAATAATAATGTCATCATAATGTCAGCACTGTATGTTTCCATACAATGGCGAAATTAGTCTCTGCATTTAACCCATCCACCACCAGGTGGTGCAGTGGGCAGCTATTGAAAGCTGCCTGGGGGCATTTTGGGGATGAGGTGTGCTGCCCAGAGACACCACGTGGTATACAGTGACTGGGGATCGAACCTGGGACTTTCGGGTCCCAGGCCGGCTGCCCTGCCTCTACACCATCTCGGCCCATTAAAACAACCATATTTACAGTCAAACCTTTGTCATCTGTTGGTTTTCTAAGTCTGAGGACAATCCAAAGGCTCTGATGTTCATTCTACGTAAAAACGTCGTTCCCCGTCGCGAAGAGGGCGAATTAGAAATGCCGTCTGTCCGTGCACGTTGTGAGCATGATCACTGGTCAAATCAGACAGGTACAAACTTCCATTTTGATGTGTGGCTTCATCAGAATCAGAATAAGCTTTTTTATCATTGGGGGGGGGTTGCGATAGGCAGAGCTTTTCCTTAAATTACACATATCCCAGGAGAAATTTGATATGTCAGCCTGCTTTGAGGCCGAACGGGGGAGTCGGATTCAGATAAGCCACAATTGTTGATTATTTTTCAGGCAGACTGTTATTTCTCATCAGCCTTGAGTTCTGTTCATACTTTCAATCCAAAATGGCCAGATTTGTAGACATTCCACTGGTCCGTGCTTATGAGCTCCCTCCAAGGTCGTCCCTTCAGACAGGGTTGGCAGCTTTGCCATGGCCTAAACTGCTGCCGCCATTTTCTTCAATAGCCGATAACACAGGTATCTGCCGTAGCCAAAAAGTAGAAACTCTGCTATCATGATTCCAATTATATAAACATCTTTGGTGTCCTCCTGAGACGATACGAAGAGACACATCAGATCGCAAACTCCCCAAGGATCCATGACGTATCCTGCCGCGTGTGTCTCAGCGGGGCATGAGGGTTCTCCAGGATCCTGTCGCTTTGTTGAAAAACATTTTATCAATTGCGTTGAAAGTCCGGCTGACCAGATCCATGACAGTGGTTTTACGTTTCAGAAGATGTGTAAATAAGAGCTCCGATACACAAGACAGAGAGCAAAAAAGCAGGAGGAGGATGGGAGATGGAACAAAGGCATCCGTCTTGCACGAGAGCAAGTGAGGAATCATCGAGGGATAAGAAAGGAGCCGTTTGAAATTAGGGCACGCCAAAATCCAAGATGGCCGCCACCACGTGTTTGTAAACCGACCCCCCCGATCATCAGACGAAACTCTGCTACGTAGTTTTATATTGCTTAAAGAACAGTTGAATCGTTAGACAGGAAAACCGAAACGTCCGTCTGTTCTTCTCCACAGAGTAACTCAAGTATCTCGAAACAAAAACATTCAGGTTTACTTCGATCTCGGTTCAGTTCCAGTCCAGAAAAACGCTCAAGGTTCAAAGTTCTTTATTGTTGTTTCTTCACATGTGGTACATGAGGTGGAACAAAGTTGTATACTCAGGGTCCCAGTTGCATCCAACAACAGCGAAAATATAAAGTGTAAAAAGAAACGGTAAATAAGGATCTAAGATATGAACTAAACACTAATAGTGCCAAACAATACGCCGGTACTCGTCTCCAGAACTTCAAACTCCACTCAGTCGGAGGTCATCAACGTGACGCTTGTTTCTGAATAATGCAGATATTTCACTTTTCCTTTGTTCTTCTAATGAAATCTGTGAAATGGAGAAAAACACGAACAAACTCCTCGTCAGACTGTTTGTTTCCAGGTCTCTCTTGTAAAGGAGTCCCCGAGGCTCATTGGGACTAACCTGTAGAAATAAAGGTTGAATGAATTGTTTCAGGATCAGACTGAACTTTTGTTTGGACGAAGCAGAACGATGAACAAACTGTGAATTTATTTTCTGCAGAGAATTCGAGTTCCAGCGTCCGAGCTGTGCCGGGTGTGTCAGCGGAGGGTGTACCCCATGGAGTCGCTGACCGCAGACAAACTCAACTTCCATAAAAGCTGCTTCCGCTGCCAACACTGCAACGGCAAACTAAGGTAGAGCCATTCCCCCCGCGGATCCACTGCTGCCATGAGCTTCTTCAAACACCTCTAACGTCTCGTCTTTTCTGTTTTCAGCCTCGGTAACTACGCCTCTCTCCACGGACACGTCTACTGCACGCCACACTACACGCAACTGTTCAAGTCCAAAGGAAACTACGACGAGGGATTCGGACAAAAACCACACAAAGACCTTTGGAACAACAAGAACCAGAACAACTCAGCCGTGAAATCACCGGCGCCCGAAAAGAAAGGTTTAGATTTCAAATACACGTCCATCCACGAGAGTGACGTCTCCAAACTGGTGGATGAGAACAAAAAGCCCACGAGTAAGATTTCAGTAGTGTGGCCTCCTCAAGTCGACTCGACAAAGAAAACCTTCACCGTGGACGAGGAGCTGAAGCTGGTTAAGCCGTCATGGCCGCCTAAAGAGGACTCGTCTCTGGGAAACGACCACTTAAATCAAACGATGAATCCAAGAGATACTGGAGCTGAAGCTCCAGATCAAAACCAACCCCGGGACAGGAAGACCGAGGAGTCTCTGTCGGCGCCAGACTGTCAGGCCTCACGTGTTACAGCAGAGGAGGCACCGGTTGTTCCTCGCACTCCACGAAGTGAAGAGTCAAATAGCGGCGCCGACACTGCGGTACAAACAGACTCTGAAGTTTCTCCAGGGGTGAAGGAGGAGGATGGAGACAAAGGGGATGTGAGCAGAGGAGGGGAGGGCATGGAAGGGCAGGAGGAGAGTGCAGAAAGGCTGAAGGATGTCAGAGAGAACGGACTGGACGAGCAGGCTGTGGATGAAGGAAACGAGGGCAACAACGGCGAGACAGTAAAGGTCACGTTCATAGATGAGGACTCGGCAGGACTCCAGGCTCTGAATGCTAACGCCAACAACAACAACAACCAGATTTTAGTTGAAGTAGAGACCCTGGATCGGGGCTTTGGAGAGGGGGAGCCACTTCTTCAAGCAGATTTCTCACAAACCGGCGCCCATCAAACCTCCGAGCTGACGCCAAGAGAAGCGCTGCAGTTGGCACAGAGGGACGATGCTTCAGGGCCAGCCAGTGCCAAACAAGCCGAAGCCATGGACGGTGTCTCAGTCTTCCCGGAGACAGCCGAGGGGACTCTCACGTTCAACCACATCACCACCGAGCCAACGATTGGCACTTCAAGCTTCCTCCAAGATATCTCGGGCGGTCTGAGCGCGGGCAGCCCCGACCTGCTGTCTGACTTCAGATCTGAATCTGCGGGGGCGCCGGCGGTGTCGGAGCTCGATGACCTTTTGGACTTTGGGCTGCAGCCGGGAGACACTGGGGGAGAAGAAGAGGGCGGCGACGGCTCTGTGACAGAACAGAGGAGCGGTGCTCCTGCAGGGACGGAGGACGGCGGCGGCCTGACGGTGGAAGAACAGATGCTACCACAGCAACAGCAGCTCCTGAATCTGGTGCATTGATCTCATGTAGTTTGACGTGTCCATGGAGAGACGGCGTGCTCCGGAGTGAGGTGGTGTTTTTTACTCCGTTTGAAGCTCCTTCTGTTCATCGTGTAGCTTTGGTTGATTGCACCTGGTGTGCACCTTGTTACGATGTCTATGTCAAATAAATCCTTTTTCCTGTTTCTCTGTCAATGGATGCTCGTTGTCTCCTGAAGGTCCTGCAGGTTCCTGACGGTTCCTCTTCATCGAACTGAGTAAAAGTTCTGTTTTTGTAACGTTTCATCACAACATGAGCCTTTTAGAGCATGAAATAAAAACATCTAATTTAAATGACTGTAAAAAAACAACAACTTTAGTTTGAAAATACTGCACAGTTCAGTTTGTATTTGATTTATTTTTTTTAAACTGAACAGTTAAAAGAACTGATGAGGAGAAAAAACTAAACTAAACACATGGATGGATAGATGGATGGATGGATGGATGGATAGATAGATGAATAGATGGTTAGATGGATAGATTGATGGATGGATGGATAGATGGATGGATGGATGGATAGATGGATGGATGGAT